AGTAGTTTTTGTAGTATCTTGAAGCATTAAACAAGAGTAGATAGCTAAAGCATGCTAATAGGCCAATTGCATGTGAAGAATGCAGGAACATTATTTTGTCGTGACTGTTTTGTTCACAGCTTTCTCTAATAGAATATGCATTTTTAAAAGCACAGGAGACAACTATTTAGTCTGCCTTGTGTTTAAAGATGTTCACTTTCCCTACTTGCCTCCATCAGAGTTTATTTATTCAACACACGTTTGGTGGGTGCTTATTGTGAGCCAAGATACAAAGTCAAAGAAGATACCAGCCCTGCTTTCAAGGAGCTCCCAGACTGGTGGAAGAAATAGAGGAGTAGGTGGTCATCCTGCAATGAAAGGGGGCGGAGCTACAGGAATTGGGTAAGGGGAGTTAGTGGTTAGCAACTAGGACGCTGTGGTGCATCTCCTTTAAAATAATGCAAACAAGGGGCGCCTGGGTGGCTCAGTCGGTTGGGCATCTGCCTTCAGCTCAGGTCATGATCCTGGGGTCCTGGGATCGAGCCTTGCCTCGGGCTCCTTGCTCAGTGGGGAGCCTGCTTCTCCCTCTGCCTCTGCCTCTCCCCATCCCCCTGCTTGTGCGCTCTCTCTCTCCCTCAAAATAAATAAATAGAATCTTTAAAACAATGCAAATGAGAATTTGAGATGGCTTAATTATTTGTAGGTACTAGAGAAGTCAGAAGAGGGCTAACATAGTTTAGTTTAATTAACGCTATGCAGTTGCTATGCATGACTTCCCAAGTAACAGCCATCTCTGCTTCCCTGCACTTCTTAATAAAACCTCTATGCTTCTCTCTTGCATCTCAAGGGTTGTCGGAGCAGCATACCTGCAGGAGATACCAATGTCTCGGTCACATTAAATAGTAAGCTAATGTTTAAGTCTCCTTAAACATTCAACGCGACCTCCAAGGCAAAGTTGCTGTTGTAGGTGGGCAGCTACGTGGGGTGGGATAAAGGGTAGAGTTAGCCTTCAGTCACTGATGAGCCTTCCAAAGTTCATTTCTCCATCGATCTGGAGTTTGAAACCTACTTTGTCATGGAAGTAGTAGGTGAGGTTTTTCAGGTCACCTCCCAAATGTCCCTGAAATGATACACTATGTTTACCTGAAGTGATATACTCTTGCGTTCATGTTATGTTAATCCAAATGAATTATAGAAGCGTAGTTGCTAAATATAGCCAGATTTATGTTCCATCAGCCAGTTGCTTTACTCTCAAGTCCTCAATACCATATAACCTAACGGCATATACAACTGTGCCTCATGGGAAAATGCTGTCAGTTTTATTTGGGGTCATCTAGCCATGTCCTCTGCTCAGTTTTACCAGTTTGTGGCTGTAGCGTCAAGTAGAATTAGCAGAAGATCTAGGCCCAAAAGACAACCTCACGGAATAAAGTATGCTGTGCATGTTGAATATTGCTTTCATAGAACTTTGCTCTCCACATCAGCTATTGGAAGCAATTTGTAATAATGCTGAACTGCTGGAATAATCGACAGTAACATCCATCACCACTTCTTTCTGCTCAAACCTTTCCTTAACTCTCAGGACTAAGAACCTGTGATGCATGAGGGCATTTAGAGTTCGACTCACTTGTTTGACTTTCAGAGCAACAAATCATTAAATTTAGAAGGATGCACATAACCTCTTAAGCTGTCACAATTACTCCTGTACCAAGATTCCATTGAAATTTTTTTAAAGATTTTATTTATTTGAGAGAAAGAGAGTGGAAGCGAGCTAGAGAGAGAGAATGAGCAGGGGGAGGGGCAGCGGGTGAGGGAGAAGCAGGCCCCTCACTGAGCAGGGAGGATGCGGGGCTCCATCCCAGGACCCCAAGATCATGACCTTAACCGACTGAGCCACCCAGGCTCCCCTCCATTGAAATTTTCTAAAAGGAAACGCACAAAGACTCTAAACGCCTTGCCCCTTGAGAAAAGTCAGCTGTTAAGTTTAAGAACTAATCACTAGGGCGCCTGGGTGGCTCAGATGGTTAAGCGTCTGCCTTCGGCTCAGGTCGTCATGATCCCAGGGTCCTAGGATCGAGTCCCACATCGGGCTCCCTGCTCAGCGGGGAGCCTGCTTCTCCCTCTGCCTCTCTCTCTGTCTCTCATGAATAAATAAATAAAATCTTTAAAAAAAAAAAAAGAACTAATCACTAAAAAAAAAGAGAAAAAAAAGAAACTATGGGTGCCATAGTGATGGCTTACGTATGAAAATAATTCTTAAAACGTAAATCACATCGGGACGCCTGGGTAGCTCAGATGGTTAAAAGTCTGCCTTCGGCTCAGGTCATGATCCCAGGGTCCTGGGATCGAGTCCCGCATCAGGCTCCCTGCTAGGCGGGGAGCATGCTTCTCCTTCTGCCTCTGCCTCTCTCTCTCTCTCTCTCTCTCTCTGACTCTCATGAATAAATAAATAAAACATTTTAAAAAAAAGTAAATCACATGGATACTTGAGTGTTTGGTTATGTTTATACTAAGTTATTAGCACTGATACGGTGGGAGTGGTTGTTCACAATACTTAGCATTTAGGAAGCTGAAATGAAGTCATATTTAAATCCCGTGAAGGGACGCCTGGGTGGCTCAGTCGGTTGAGCGCCTGCCTTCGGCTCAGGTCGTGATCCCAGGGTCCTGGGATCAAGCCCCGCATCGGGCTTCCTGCTCCGCGGGGAGCCTGCTTCTCCCTCTCCCTCTCCCCCTGCTTGTGTTCCCTCTCTCGCTGTCTCTCTGTCAAATAAATAAATAAAATCTTTAAATCCCATGAAGCACAGGCCTGTCAGACGGAGGAAGGAATGGGCCACAGGAGAAGGGAAACATTGGTGTCCTTTTTAAAAGTGTGGCCTGTCTTATTGTCGGCACCCGTTTAACATGAATGTTCTGAGGAAAGAACTTTGAGAATTCCACAGTATATAGTCTTTACTGAACCTGTTTCCTGTATTCTGTATGTTTTCCACAATCCATTTTAGTGATTTCAGCTCAAGGATTAAGTGAACCCCCTTATCCTTTAAGTAACAAAAACAAGTTGGTATTAGCTAGAGGAGTCACTGTCTACATTTTCTGGTAACTGCATATTTCTCAGGACCGTGGTCACATTTGTTAGGAGCCTTTCAAGGATCTTGTGTAGTCTCTAATCGGCATGAGCCTGCTTTCCACAAAGCAGTGTGTAGCCTCTTTGGTTTTGCTTTTACGGTAACAGTAGTTCATTACCTTCACCCACAGTCTTTTAATTTGACGTTTGCTGTGCAGCCTTGTGTCTTGGGCAAAGTCAGGTAACGACCCTAGACTCTTGTTCCCTACGACGGTTTCAGTAGTCATTGGATATTGGGCATGCTGGGAATTATCACTCAAACCTTCAAAACCTTGCAGTCAGTTGGAATATTTTTTGAGCCATGTCTCTACCCGGTTTTAGTGGGAGTATAGAAGAGGAAGACGGAGTTCCGACGCTGTTCTTGAGATACAAACAGTCTCAAAATGAGACCAGCAGAGCAAGTAGTTAGACAAGCATTTGTGTGCTATTTAGTCAAAGAAGGAATCTCTTTTCCTGGGGAAGATTATTCTCGAAGCAAGTTTGAGGAGCTGTGTGGAGGAGGCAGGTGAACTGAATCAAGTAGGACAACGGATGTCCCAGCCAGGCGGTCCTCACATCCTCTAACATAACTAGAGGAGGAAGGCCATAATGAAATTGCCAGATTTTGTTACAGGATTCTCAAGCCTGTGGGATTTGAAGAGGAAGGGTGGCAGGGGGCAGAGGCACTGGGAAACATGCTTTGGGAGAGGGTGAGGCTTCTGCTGAACCTTGAAGGGTGAATAGGATTTGGATAGGGAGAGAAGAAAAATTATGAGGAGGGCATTGTAAATGTGAGAGGTGGATACAGGAGAGGGAGTCCTTAGTGGGAGGGAGGGAAAGAGGAAGAGGGACAGGATAAAACAAAAGGTAATGACTGATGTAGGAGTTAACAGGACATGCTCAGGAGAATAATTGTGATCAAAAAGCTAATTGTGAGTCTTGTTGAAATGTAAAACTGATTAGATGTGTCCAGTAGGACCGCTCTAGAGGACCTGAATATCAGGCAGAGATTAGACAAGCTGTTTTAGGCATAAGCAATGATAGCTTCCTAAAAGGGGATGGACATGATCGACATGGTTGTGGGCACTAGCTGTGGGCCATTTTTTATTCAGAAGATATGTATTGCAAATGCTTTGTCGGGGCACTTGGGTGGCTCAGTCAGTTAAGAGTCTGACTCTTGATTTCAGTTCAGGTCATGATCTCAGGGTTGTGAGATCGAGCCCCGCATCTGGCTCCGCATCTGGCTCCGCGCTGGGTGTATAGCCTTTTTGAGATTCTCTTCCTTTCCCTCTGCCCCTCCCCCCCACTTGCATGCACTCTGTCTCTCTCTCTCTAAAAAAGAGAAAGAAAATGCACTGTGTTTGTGCATTATTCTAAGGGCTGTGGTGAATACAGAGATAAGTAAGCTGCATCTCCACTCTAATAAGGTTATAGTCTTGTTGGGGAAATAAATTCATTCAATAAGCTGTTGTTCGGGAGGCTGCATAGCAAAATGGTTGAGAATACTGACTTTAGTGGCAGGCAGACCTGGGTTTGAGGCCTAGCTCTACCTCTCAAGAGCTGTGTGACTTTGGGAAAGTTACCCAACCTCTCTGAGCTCACTTGCTCGTCTGCAAAATGGGAATAACAGTATCACCCGGTTTATAAAGTTTTTTCTGAGACGTAACGTACATAATGTATATAAAGCATTTCACAGAATGCACCTACATAATAAGTCCTCCGTAAATGTCAGCTGTAATGTAAACTTACAATGGTATGTTATTATATTATCTTAATTATTATCATTACCTACTCTGTAGGCACTGTGATCAGGGCTGGGAATATGAAGATGAATGGGATATGGCCCCTTCCATCCAAGAGCTTTGTTATAAATGCTATCCTTGTGGTGACTGTATTTTCCCACTCAAACATTGGTACGTAGGCTCCGACGGTAGAACGAGATATTTAAAATCAGAGCTGCCTGAAAGAACCCTGCGCTGGTTGTTGCAGAAGAAAACGCAGCCGGTCCTGTGCAGAGAGGATTGTGATCTCAGGTGGGTTCAATCTGAAGAGACTTCCTCAAAGAAGCTTTTGCAGAGCTAGGTTAGGAGATGGGTGGAGAGCATTCCACGGAGAGAGGCACAGAGGAGAAGGAACAGGGGGTAGGAAACGGTGGCCTGCTCGGGAAATGGGATCTTTCTGGAGCGTGGGTCGAGGGGGCCATGCACGTGATGGGAAGTGACATCGGAAAGATAGGCAGGTCTCAATACAGAACCGCGTAGGGCCTTGAATGCCGTGCAAGAGAGGCGGGACCCTGTGTTTTGTAGAATCCATCGTAGGTCTTCTCTCCAGGGAGCTAGCAGTGTGAAGATCACCTTGGAGAGACACAAGACTGGAGATAGACCAACTCAAAGGCTTTTGGACTAGGTCAGACATGAGGTGATCCAGGGGTATGATGGAAGAATCCAGACTGCTTATTTACTTCGCCCTCCCTTTGTTTCTCTGGAGACAGAGCAAAGTGGGGAACTGGAAAGTGACACCTGATTTGGCAGGGGAGATAGCTGAAAATGGGAACTAATGCAGCGGGAAGTTCAGTGTAGACACTTAGACTTTCCTGCCTGGAATCCTCCTCACTCAGCTTCCTTCTCCCTTGGACCAGAGGGTCAAGTCCAGATTTTGAGTGGAGCCCCTCTAAATATTTTTTTAAGATTGTATTTATTTATTTAAGAGAGAGAGAGAGAGAGCACAAGCAGGGGCAGAGGCAGAGGGAGAAGCCAACTCCGCGCTGAGCAGGGAGCCCGATGCGGGACTCGATCCCAGGACCCTGGGATCATGACCTGAGCCGAAGGCAGACGCTTCACCGACTGAGCCACCCAGGTGCCCCGCGTGTAGCCCTTCTAAAGTGGACCCTGACCTTCGGCTCCCAATCATGTCTGTCCTAAATCCCAGGCACCGTGCTCCAACCAACTGCATTTCTCCACCTCCAGAATATAATCTTCTCTTCACATCTCTGTATCTAGAAGGCCTTCATCAGTGATGTCTGTCCGAGGAATTCCTACTTAGGTTCTCAGATAAAGTTCAAAAGCCCTCTTTGGAAAACCTTTCCTGACCCCCACGGCTCTCACTAGTATTGTCTTTGTCTTTCTGTTTCTCCCACTAGACAGTAAGCTCTTGGGACTTTGCGTCCTAATTCCCTACTTGTGCAGCACACAACACAGTGCCTGGTACCCACTGATAAGCCTTCCATTAAGGCCTGGATATAAACGAATAAGTGAGTATATAGGGTAGACAGTCAAGTTGAAATCTTGTAGAAAGTCACTTGGAAGTACAGGTGTGGAGCTTGAGTAATCATGGGAAGAGTCGGTGAGCTCGAGCTCGGTGTTGAACACCCATGTGACCTGGAGACTAGTGCTGTTGACTTACCCGACTCGGGAGGAGACAGGGTGGCAGTTTCTGTCGGTACAGGTAAGTATGTGAAGTGTGGGTGTTCCGGAGCAGTGCCTGATTTGGACAAAGGAAGGTGACAAATACACCCCTTCTTGTTGACCATTGTTGAACTATTCACCCTTAGCCATGGCTGTGGGGTTTGGTTTGGTTTGGTTTGGTTTTCATTTATTGTGAAACAACGTATTCTTCCATGTTTAGTCCACCCTTTGTTGCTCTCTCCTTCGTGGCGGCTATGCGAGCTTAAATATGTGTTGCCAAATCTCTGATTTAAGTAACCAGCCTCGCTTCCCCAGTAGTATTTACCTGGCCTGCTAGTGGCTGGGATAAAGCCTCTGGTTGAATATCCCGGGTGTTTCTCCTGTAGTTCCCTTTCAGCTGCCAGAAAAAGAAGTACAGAGTTCATAATCAACTCCCGATTATCCACGGATGAGTTTCCCAGCGTGTGTGCCCTGCCTCCCGCCCCACGTGCTGCTGAATGACAGAGATTAGTAAACAGATTATTCAGTCGGCTGCATCCCTCCACTGAATCACTGTAGGGGCTGAAAACAGGCACCCCTCCTCCTCTCCCATCAAATACCTTTCAGAATTTTTGACTGATAGTTTCAGGTAGTCAGTTGTACGCACACCTTTCTCAGCAAAGATTTGCGTTCAGGGTTTGAGTGTAGTTAAATGAGCCCGCGGAGTGGTTTCATAATTGCTGCATTGTTAGTCAAACTCTGTAATTAGGGATGACTTCATTGGCCTAAGATTTCTCTATGGGTGACGCCCTGAATTCAGACCCAGTCGTACACCATATCCTTTTATGAAAAAAAACAACAAACAAGGTTTTGTTTGCTTTTCGTTTTATTCCCTTTTTTTGAAAATCTGTTTTCCTTTGTCTCAGATGTTTAGGGAGAGAGAGGATCTGTGTTGTTTTCTTTTCTTTTTTTTTTTTCCCCCTGCAGCTTTCCCTTTATAGAGGAGGCAGGCAGAGGAGCTAGGGAGGAAACAGAATTTGGGACAGATCAAAGTGCTTTGCAGATGAGAAAATTCAGAAAAATGCAGAGACCCTGGGAGCTTTTACTTTTGATTAGTATTTCATTTGGCTACATTTAAATGGAAGGAAAATATATTTGTGTTGTTGTTTTTTTAATATCAGCACGCTTCCTCTCTCTCTCTCTCTCTCT